GTTTTGGAATTCTGGCCCTGGAGCTGAGCTGTTTTGATTGGTGAGCAAATGAGTGTAAGCTCACCTAGCCTGCTATTTCTAGCCTTGCTCCAAACCACATCATGCTTTACATGCCATCCAGCCATCCACCCACCCATCTTGCCATCTGCTCTGCCAGCAGACTTGGGTCCTTCCCTCACCCACTTTCTACCTCTCACTCCTGACACAGTAATCAAATCAACACTTTGCTTCTGGAAAAGGATCTGTCCATCCACTGCCATGTAGCTCTATATGCTATCCCTGTGACTCCATAGACCAAAACCTCCCTTTATGTTTTATCTTTCCTTATTATAATCTAAACTTTCTGAGGGCAAGAACTGCCTCACATTTTATTATTATCTCCAGTACTTTGCACAGTGCCTGGCATATGGTAAGTACCTAATAAATGCTTTTTTCATTCATTCATCTATTTCATTTAAAAATGCTTTGTAAATCTTAAAAGACTAAATAAATATGAGCTTATTGCAATCTGATTGGGAACCTGTTCCACACTTGAATCCTTCAGGGGTTATCTCATAGTGTATTGGAAGGGGCACTGGATTTGGAGTCAGAATAACTGGATTTGAATTCTGGCTTTGCCTGTGTAATCTTGGGCAAGACATTGTAGCTTTTTGGGGTTCGGTTCTCTCATCTGTAAAGTGAGAACCAGATGATCCCAGCAGTCCCTTCCAACTCTAACTTCTATGATCCCATCAGAATAACAAACTTACTTCTTTAATTAATTAATAAAATTAATTAAGAGTTGATTATTTCATTTGATCTTGGTAGGAAGGAAGGGAAACCAGGTAGAAAACTCAGCTTCTCTTTTCCTTCCCAGTCCCCACTATTTTCAACCTTTTCTTCTGCCATCCCCTCTCTTTTTTTTCCCTTTTTTCAAAGATGAGGAGTGTTAATAGTGTGGGAGTGAAGGTTAGGGGATGTATATAATATCTCAGTTTCAGTTTCTCTGTCCCTATCTTGCTACTGTTCAGGACATGATTTGGGAAATAGCAAGGATTTTCTCCCCTTGCCTCAACTTAGTGAATTTAGGATTGGTAAAGAAAGAAATTTTATTCCATTACCTTTGAGATCACTTTTCTTTTACTCACGCTTCTGAGATATCCATTTAGATCGTTGAAATATACATGTGTGTCCTTTTCTACCAACATTATCCTCTTCTCCTTATGACCAAAATCAGTTAATTAACAATCATATATACTAAGTGCCTACTGTGTGCCAAGCACTGTGTTAGGCTCTGAAGATATAAAGGCAAAAATAGAGCAAGTCAAAGAACAAAGCACTGCCCAAATTTCCAGATTTCCTCTGTTTTATTGTGCTCTTTGTTGCAATGGCTCTGTTTTCTTTCAAATGGTGAATAACTTTCCTCCTGGTGGTGTAATTCTTGTGAAAATTGATTCTCTCAAAGCTTTATCTTTACCTTGATTCCCTCACTTGTATCTCCACTCTCTGAAAAAGGGGAGAATGAAGTGAAACCTATTTGGTTATATTTTAAATTTCTGTAAACATCCTAAATTGTTTCCATCTGACCTTTAAGACTGATAACAGAATGAGAATATGGTAAAAAGGCAAGTTATTTGTCAATATTTATACATGGTAGGTTGCCACCTTATTTTGGGTGTGCCAACCCATTTTGGGTGTGTGACTGCTGGCTGATGAATCATTCAGCAATCAAGCTTTAAATAAGTGACTTATGGATGTTCCAAGGTTAACAATTCCTTTCATTACTTATTGAAAACAGATAATTTTACTCACTGATGGCAAACTATAATAAATATTCTGTAAGGACTAAACAAAATGGTAATGAACTATTTGCCCTTATTCAAAGCAACCAAAAAAGAGACTTCTCTATACCTTTTTATTAATTTTTTTGTTTTTATATCTCCTTTATTACCAAATCTATCCTTGCTATCTGCCCTACTGAGCAAACCCTCCCTTAAGAAAAAAAAAGAAATTTCAAAAGCAATTTATCAAAATCAACCAATATACCAACCATATATAAGGGCAATGTAAGCAAAGAAGGTCCAGAATAGTGATTCAGTCAATTAATCTATCAAAAATATAACTAAGTGCAGCAAATCCTTAATTAATTTGAGAGGAATATAGTTCTTTGATCCTTGGATAATGATGTCTCATAGGAAATATCTTGTTACTGGCCAAAAGAACAAGTCACACACAGTGGGGCTGTATGTAAACAGCAAGCTAATAAGGAGCCATTCAGTGGAGTTGTGACCCAATCCAATTGTGAAGAACTCCCAAGAGAGAATTGCCCTTGGCAGGGAGGTGAGCGAGATTCTCTCACCTCCTCCCCCAACCTGTGATCAGGTGACTTACCTGGTGAACTTTTAAAGACAGGAAGACCTGAAATTCAGGTGTCAGCAGAAATGTTTCTATACTAGCAATGGCTGATGGCAAGGTCTGTACTAGTTTCAGAGAGATATATCAAGAACAAATTAGAAACACCTAGGAAAGACAACTTTAGGGAACATATTTCCTCAGGCAAAGAGAAATATAAGCTATGGGACTCAACAAAAGCACTGATCTCAAGAGCCCAGCAGATAGCAACACCTAAGTAAAACATATAATGACTCTACAAAGAATGAAAGAACCTCATAGCAATCAAAAACTGTGAGGTACCCCTTTGCCTCATGTGTTCTCTATGCATGTAGTTCACTACCACTTTAGTATAAGTTTAAGCTTAGTCTCTTGAGAAACCTTGTCTATACAAGGGGTTAAGTTGAGAAGAGTGGTTGTTTTATAATGAGTGTATTTTCTATACCAGCTTAGTAAATAGTCTTTCTAAAAATTAATTGTCTGGTTGGTAATCAATGTGAAACATGTTGGTGGGGGCTCATGACCAATTGTACTAGAACAACCCAGCCCCTCAGCATTATTCCTAGAACTCTGAGAGTAGTAGCAGTTATTGCCCAATGGGGACACCAAATTGCAGTGGGATTTGGAACACAGATGGGATGCTTCACTTGACTGACAATACATGAAACATTTCAAACCCATAGTCCCACCCCTGTACAAAAAGTGAAAGGAAATACATTTTTTTTCAACTCCTCTCCAATTGCTCAAGCTTGGTCATTATAATTATGTAGTGTTCAGTTTCATATTTTTTGTTCTTTCTGTTTACATTATTGTAGTCATTGTATACACTGTTTACTTCATGTTGAATTAGTTACTTATTTTCCCATGCTTTTCTGAATTTTTCATATTTATTGATTCTCACAGCATGGTAATATTCACATTTTCCAGATATTCCCCAATAGATTAGAATCTACTTTAGTCCAGTTTCTTGCTACTGCTAAAAAAAATACTAATTGAATTAATTGATTTATTTGAGACCTCTCTTTCTGTCTCCTAGGGGTATATGCCTAGCACTGGGATCTGTCTGTCAAGGAATATGACCATTCTAGTCACTTTCTAAATGGTAATTCCAAATTGGTTTCCAGAAGTGATGCACCAAGTTCTAACTCTACCACCAGTGTATTAGTATATGTGTCTTTCCTAGCCCTTTCAACAGTGACTATTCCCATCTTTTGACATTTGTGCCAATTTTTGGGTGTGAACTGAAACTCCAGAGTTGTTTTCATTAAGGAATTAAAGCAAGCTGTCACAGGGTTATTAATAGCTTGCGATTCTTTTGTGAGTTTAAAAAAAATGCTATTTATGCATCAGACAATGGCTCCAAAAAGGCTTTTTTGAACCCTCCTCAAAGTTTTGCAAGTCTCCACTAATTAAACTTGATTAGCTCAGGCATTAACCTAAGAGGCATCTTTAATGTTGTTAAGCCTTTATTAATAACTTTGTCTAAGGAAATGATGTATATTACACATAGGGAGTCTTAGAAAGAGGACTCATAATTTGGTGAATAGGATTCCACATCTATGGTTAAAGGACCTGGATTTGAATTCTGGCTCTACTATTTAGAACCTGTTTACTCCTAAGCAGATTATTTGACCTCCTTGGACTCTAGTTTCCACATCTGTGAAATTAAGAGACTGAGTTTGATCAGCTTTAAGCTAAGAGCTTTTCCAGTTCTAACTTTATGACCCTATAGTGCTAAGCACTGATCTCTTTTAAAGGGTGATCTATAAAAGTCAAGGTTGGGTACCTGCCCTTGAGGGTGTTTTATAGGAAACAATAGGAATTTTTACTAAGAGTTTTTGAAAAAATTTTAGAAATATAGTACAAATTATGAGAACTCAACTATGTTAGTTAACAGTGATTAGCAATTATTTAAATGGTGTTAAATATTTATTAAGATGGACAGAACTGAATGGGTCTCGAAAAAGACTATGGACAAACATAAGTTAATATAATGAAAATACAGGCTTTCCTTCTACAGGCATACCTATCCCTCATAAAGTCACCCTTGCTAATACTGTTTTTTATATTAATGTTATTAATACATTTGAGACAAACCCCATTAACATGGTGTTCTGCCTAATGTATTTTTGTGGAATTAGTTAATGATGTTAAAATTGTCTTTACTATTCTTGTGTCTGGAAAGATTTTATGCAGTTAGATTTTTTTTAATTGCCACATTGAGTTTTCTAGACAATAGACACTTTCAAAAACCATTCGCTATGTAGTAGATGACTTTACCCCCACCCCGAAATAGTTAAGCAGCCCTCCCCCACTGTAGAGTGATTGTGGCTGTAAATGTATAGTATGTCACTCTCCATTTTTATAGTTTAGCCATTTATAGCCATTCCATTAATAGAATGGAAGGATGTCTGCTTTAGATTAGTACCAACATTGTTCTTTACATTTGAACTGAGTTTTATTATAGTCATGTCTAATGCTCTTTTGGTGGTATTCACAGTGAACAGAAAGCCAGCCTCATATTGGGAAACCTAAAAACTTTCTGACATATACTGTCTTTGTAATCTTGGACAAGTCACTAACTTCTCAGTGCTCTAGAGGCAACTCTTTATAAGTTGCAGAGAAGGTACCAATGTGCATGATAGAAGGAATTCCCTTATGCCAGGCCTGCAGGCCACTTATGGCCCTCGGGCCGCTTGTGACATACCAAAAGATTTCCAGAGGCCCACGAAAAATGTGGAGAAAAACATCCTCTACATTTTTTGCAGGCTGCCCAAAATCCTTTGGTGCGCCACAAGTGGCTTGAGAGCCATAAGTGACCCACAGGTGGCACATTGTGCAGGCCTGCCTTACACCAATGAAATCCTAGGTTTAATTTTTATCTCCTTTCTTCTGCCTCTGCATAGAAGTCTTTATGTAGTTCTCTAAATTCCTCAAATGTTCATTCCTTACACAGCATTAGAGAAGCAATGCAGCTCAAAGTAGTGAGATAAATTATTATTTTACTATTATATATTAATAACCAATTGTTTGATTGGGAGCCAGGCTTTTCTCCTATGTTTCTTCATTGAGACCTGGCTCAATGGGAGTGGAAGGACATGACTGATTGAGATTACCCCTAACCCTCAGGGAACATACTCTTCCATCTCGGGCTGGATCACACCCAACTAGGAGACCTCAGTTCTATTTAGAGTGTAAACTGAATCGATTTTGGCAAGTTCTTAATACGAGGAAATACGAGGAAAAGGAACCCTGTCCTTGCACCCCTCCATTAGAACCAACTAGAATGGTCTGGATGAAGACCTATGTTGCTGGAGACAGCTGAGTCTCATGAACAGGCCATGTTCTTGGTGGGAGGAGCTGACGACATTTAGCCCACCTCCTCATTAAATATCCACTAATCAGGGTTGATTTTCAATTGTCAAGGAAATTCCTTTTAAGGATTATTTAAAGTTTTCAGGATTTCTTTGGTTAGAAACCACTGACCACCAATTTATTATCAGCTAGCCTAATTAATAAATTAATAAAATGAAATTTAAAAAATAAAATTAATAAATGAATTCTGTCTTTCAGGTTTTTCATTCATCACAGTAGATAAGATAACTAGCTTTGGAATTGGGAAGATCTGATTTTAATTCCTGGCCTTGACACGTACGAATTATGTCACCCTGAGCAAATCATTTCATCTCTCAGTGTACCAGACAATTCTCTAAGACTGAACACTGCTATCTGCATTGCTAGAAGGAGTTTTGTCACTAAAAAGACTATAGCAGGTCAGATAGACACAGCTCTGTGGGGTTTCTTTGGCAGACTCCCATCCTCCCCTTGAAATGGGTATAGAAACACAAGATTACTATGAAGAATTAGGCAGGGAAGTACATAAAATATCCTAAATCAGAGTGAGGACTCAGGCAGACAGGTTGTCGATGGTGACCATAAAATATAGTTGAACAGAATTAATTCTGAAGATACTAGTCAGTTAGCCCTGGGTGTAACCTGTGAATTTCATTCCATGTGGATAACTTTCTGGTTTTGAAAGTTCTTCCACTAATGAAGACTAGAATTTCTTTGTAAAATGGGGGGCAATGAAATGTTAATGACTCGTCCATGATCACACAGCCACTATTATAAGACGTAAGAACTGAATGCAGGTCTCCCTGACTCTGGGCAGCTAGGTGGCACAGTGTATAGAGCTCCTGGCCTGGAGTCAGGAAGGCTCATATTCCTGAGTTCAAATCCAGACTCAGACACTTAGTAGCTGTGTGACTCTGGACAAGTCACTTAACCCTGTGGGCCTCAGTTTCCTCATCTGTAAAATGAGATGGAGAAAGAAATGACAAATCACTGCAGTATCTTTGCCAAGAAAACTCTAAATGGGGTCACAAAGAGTTGGACATGACTGAACAACTTCCTGACCCTAAGGCAGACCCTCTATCTACTGGCATTGTTCGCCTAACAAATAGATATGTAAATGGAGATATTATGTTATGAGAGAGATTAGATTTGATAACATGCCATTGCCTTGCACACTGTAAACACTTAATAAAATGCTTGTGAAATAAAGAGTTTTCTCTCTGAGAGGAAACATCTATTTCAGCTAAAACTCAGAGGAAAAAGACCTTTTAAAGGAAGAAGAACCATGGTTTGTTTTTTTTTTTTTTTCCCTAGTCCAGTGACTGGATATGTTGGAGATTTTGCCTTTGTAAAAGAAATGTAGGAAAGGGGCTCTCTGCTTTAAGCTAAAAGAACAATGCAGTGCCTCATACTCTTCCTAGGCAAGATTTCCTATGAGTCCCTGAGCTGAAGACTTCAGCTGAAGTCACAAGCAAAGGGGAGCTCCACGATCTTGTCCCCAGGGGAACTGCAGCTGGAAATGAGCAGAAACAAAGAAGGACTAGTCAATCAACAAACATTTATTAAGCCTCGTCATGTTCTAGGCACGATGTTAGGTCTAGGAATACAAATACAAGCAAAAAGAAAGATAGTTCCTGCCCTCAAGGAGCTTACTTTCTTTTTTTTGGACTTGGTGTGTTTTTCTTTTTAAAATATTTAAAATTCATTTTGAACTTAAATACCAAAAAAACCCCAAAACCACAACCCATTTGCATGTACACAGCACCACATAAAAATACTTATAAAGGCATGAATTTCCATTCCATACTGTTTACTTTAAAAAAAAAAAACTATGTAATAAATACTTCACACAATTTTCAAAGCTACTCTGCTTTTCTGTGCCTCCTTCTAAATTTAAAGAGCTTACTTTCTAATCGAGAATATATAATAGGAAACTAAAAGGCCAGGGAGAAGGGTCAGATGGCAAAGTCCAGTGGAGTACAGCCTGGTGGTAAATGAGGAGATGGTTGGGAGGAACCCTCCAATTAGAGGGATGGGCTCCAGCTCGGATCATAACTATATCTCAACAAACAAATGAACAAATGCTGGGTGTTAGTGATTATTTGTTTCTTTCTTTTATAAATGGTCACAAACCTTCCATTAAATAATCCATTTGAGAATTTCACTATGATCCTGTTCTCTAGTACAGTAGCACCTGGCCAGTTCTCTAGGATTCCTCAAATACCACCAACAGTGGTCTGGCAATGAAATCGGTAAGTTATTTCAGAATCCTGGGAAGTAGCTTGCGCTGGCCTGGTAAGTTGAACTTATGAAGGGTTGCTTGGTGCTCTCTTAGAATCTTTTCACTAAATTTTGGGTTTTAATTCCCTATTTTCCATTTTTTTCTCTCCTTTCTCTCCTTTCCAGCCTGAAGATCTCCTTGATAGAGAAAACTGAAGCAAAATAAGTGTTAAGCATTTCAACCTTCTCTCAGTTGTCCATTATCATTATCCTATCTACCCATAGCACCAAGTTTATCCCTTCCTTGATCTTCTTCTTGTCCCCATTGTAGCTTTAAAAGCCCTTTTTGTTTTTCTTGGTACTTATCATGAGCATCCTCTCAATCTAGGCTTTATCCTTCCTGACACTGTTCTTGAAAGACAGGGCTACTTTTTTGGATTTGTCCTGAGCTGCCTGCCTTGACTTATATATTTTGTATATGTCTTTTAAACATCTGAGCTTATCCGTGATTTCTCAGTACAGCTCTAATAGCTGATAATAATAATTCTCTAATAATCAATTCTTTATGCTCTTCCCTCTCTTCTTCCTCAACAGAATAATTTTCTATCATGTTGTGAAATATTGTTCTTGGGAGTCTTCCATCCCCCTTGATCTAATTTAAGATCTTAGAATTTGGAGCTAAATATCCTCCTGAGGTCCGTTCTCTCTCTAGTTCTATGATCCTATGAACCTCAAGTGACAAACCCTCATTTTATAGATGAGGAAACTGAGGGCCAGAGAAGTTAAATATTAAGTGAAGCCTGAGGTCAGAGAAGACCTAGGTTCAGTTCCCAGGTCTGCCTCTTACTATCCGTGTAACCTTGGGCTTAATTTAACACAACCTTCTGAACCTGAGTTTTCTCAATCTTATCCATTTCTTCTAGCTGGCCTGGTAGCCTATAGTATACTCCTGTTATAGTATCGCTTCTATTTCTCTCTCATTTGATCCTTAGAAGTAAATGGGTGGTTCAGGGAATAGAGCGCTGAGTCAGGAAGACCTGAGTTCAAATCTGACCTAGTCAGACACTAGCTGTGGGATGCTAGGCAAATCACTTAAACCTCTGTCTGCCTCAGTTTCCTTAATTGTAAAATGGGGATTGTAATAGCACCTACCTTCCAGGGTTGTTGTGGGGATCAAATGAGATAATAGCTTTAAAAAATAAGAAAGAAAAAAAAAGCCCTCAACATGGTACCTGGCACATAGTAGGATAAATTAGTAAATGCTATTCCTCCCTTCCCCTCCCTTTACCCAAATGTTCACAACTAGATTTTCTCCTTCAGATCTCTGGGGATATTTCCTTTACATAAAATGTCACCCTACCATCCTTTTATATAATCTGTTCCTTTTAAGTTGTATCTTTCCATTGCTATAGTCTGATCATGACTTCTATCTTACCAAGTCTCAGTGGTGATGAGTTAATAATTACCTCCCTGAAACAAGATCTCTGGCTCATTTTGCTTATTCTTAATACTCTATGGCTTGGTATACTACTATTATTATTACTATCACCACCACCACCACCACCACCAACACCACTACTATACTACTACTACCACTACTATCACCACCCCCACTACCACCATCACCACTACTATACTATTACTACTACTACCACTACCACCACCACTATCACTTCTACTTCTACTACTAACACTGAATATTTATTGCTTGGTACTTTATAACGTGCTTGATGTATGTTATTCCATATTCACTGGGCAGGTTAGGTAGGCTGGGCAGATAGGATTACTCCCATCTTACAGATGAGAAAATTGAAGTTTTGAGAGACAAAATGACTTGCCTACCATCACACAATTAGTAAGTTAACAGAGCCAGTATTTAAAGCCAGTTCTGACTCCAAATCCAATCTCTCTCTCTCTCTCTCTCTCTCTCTCCTCTCTCTCTCTCTCTTTTTCCCTTCTACACCATACGTGCCCTGTGGTACACTGAAACCTGATGTAATGGGTATTGTTCTTTTTCTCTTCTCATTTATTGAGTATCTCTAGTGTAACTTTTCTTTCTATAGTACACCTGTTACTCTCTACTGCACCTGGTTTAACAACTATTTCTAGGCAGTTTTCTCCCTCTCTCTCCCTTTTCACACTAAAGCCCTTTAAACTCAGATCAGATCTTCACTAGGTAAATGCATACTTCCATACTGTCATCAGATATACTCCTAGATAAGACCTCATCATCCCTATATCTTGACCTTATACCACCATCC